GCACTAACCACCGCTCCTGGAATAAATATGATAAAAATCAAGGGCTTAGGTTAAAGTTGATCAAAATTGTTCAAGCGTGACCAATGAGCTAAAATCCTGGATAATGACTGCGCGCCCTGACAATCAATCCCTTTTCTACCCCTCGCCCACTCGGGCTCGCGGCGCTGCACATCCCCCGGGCTCCTGTCTCCCACGTAACCCCTTGCTCAAAACTTTCTTGCAGATGATCCAAGCAATACAAGTACTAAGGTTTCACCTTTTGGAATTAGAAAAGGTAAGAGCCACGAAGGTGGGCGGGGGGCAAGCCATTCCCTCCCGGTCTCTCCTGGTTCTTTCCACCCCCCCTCCACTCTCCCCTCTCCCTCCCCCCTTCAGTGTTTGGGATGACTTGTAATCATGCCCAGAGGAGATAGGGGAAACGCAGTGTGATACCGTAACCTGTGCCATCAAAGCATGTGACACCCGACAGCCATGCCCAGCCCGGCCCGGCAAGTTGTTTTTTTTTTTTTCAGCGTAATTTCAACCGAGTCATTAAATGCATATATCATTAAACCCCCTCCATCCTTCTTACTCCTTCCCTCAGTGGAAGCTCTTTTCCTGACTCGGAAATAACAAGTTTAACAAAAAGAGAAATGAAAGTGCTCCTGCCTCTCTCCGGCTCTGGCAGGCACACTAACCCCAAGCAAGCACTAAGTGTTTGGAAGAGGCAGGGGGCCCCTGCGCGGCGTTGGGAGGGGGCTGTGCCTTGGGACGAGAGCGAGTAGCTTCGTCTCACTGCTCCCGGCCACTCAGACCCTTTTTAAGCCCCGATTTAAATCGATCCCGTCCCGAGTACCTGTCTGGGCTGTGTGTGCTCCAGAGATACCGCCTGGGTCCAGCTCCCAGTGTTCCGATGTTATAGTGAAATCGGATTTTCCTCTGCACACCAGACTGAGCCCACTATCTCGCTCTCTCTAACTTGTTGCTGCGGCAAGTCTCTGGAGAATAATATGTGCTGCAACAATTTCTCTATTGTTTCCTTGCCTTCAACTATTGTGCCCCTTAATTAGAGTTACTTGTGGAGAAGATCAGAGGGTTGTTCTTGCTACCAAAAAAAAAAAAAAAGTTGCAATCTGATATTTTGCCATTATTGATACTATTATTCTTGTTACTGTTTTCAGGTTCATGAATTGTGCGATAACTTCTGCCATCGGTACATTAGTTGTTTGAAAGGAAAAATGCCAATAGACCTCGTTATTGATGAAAGGGATGGCAGCTCCAAATCAGACCACGAAGAACTCTCAGGATCTTCCACAAACTTAGCCGACCATGTAAGTCCTTCTGATTTCTTTATGACACTTTTAAAGACTTTAACCTGCTTAGAGGACCTGTCCCTGATTTCACTGTTTTGCTGCTGTTGTCCATTAGTGGTATTATTAGTAGTACTTTAGCCTCTTGCAAGCTCTGATCCCGTCTTTATACTTTCTTCTCTCTCGCTTTGTGAAGTTGTGGAAATGCAGAAGGTTCTTTCTGTTTCCATCTGCAAAACAGCGAGTTTGTGATGGTTTGCAAAGCTTCCTGGTCTGGGAGGCTTGGAAAGCTAGCAAACTGTCGGTTTGATGTGGGGATCGGTGCTTTCTCTTCTTCTTTGCCAACTCTGTAATCAATGCAGCAATGTAAGGAAAGAGAGACAAGAAAGTTAGGGAGAAAGTTTGCTGATTTGCTCCCCCCTCCTCTCTCGTGGGGATGACAAGTGATGAGAATTATTGGCAATACTACACTGCATTAAAAAAAAAAAAGGGGGTTAGCACATTAGAGTTTCCAATGCTTGTGCTTTATAGCAACTTATTGTCAGAATATGGACTTATTGCCAAACGCCTGAAGCATCTTCATAATAAAAGACAGTAACCTTGATGAAGCAATTATTAACAACGTATTACAGAAAGCTGGAGAGAATGATGATTGAGTAACCGTAGGTTAGTGGTTGATTTTAACACTTTAGGAGTTGGTGAATTAGTGTTATGTGTGTAGGACTGAACATTAGTGTGCCTGGTAAGCAGAGTGCCTTTGTTTTTCCGGGTTTTGGAGTGGCTGTTGTGATCCTGCAGAAGATGTAGACGCGGAGAGACTTCGGGATGTGAAGGGAAAGATTGCAGCTGGTACCGCAGAAAAGGGAAGGAATAGCTCTGGTTAAAAAGAGTGGGTGTGAACTCTAGTTTATTTATAGGAACGCATCCCTGGGGGAAAAAGGGGTTTACACAGTTTTAGATTCAATTGAACTCATAATCTAAATGATACAGTCTAATATTTTAGCGGTTGAAATATTAATTTAACACCCGGTGTGAAGTTAACCATGCTTTCTGCACAGGCGCCTGCCTTTATTTCCCAGTGTGTTAAGAAGAGTAGCTGTAAGCCCAGGGAGAATGAGCTTTCTAGGAGCTTTTGTTTCCTTTGAAAACATGTTGTTTGTGTGTGTATTTGATAATTACATTAGACCTGGACTGAAGCTGAATTGGGAGATAAAATAATAATAAATTCTCCTAAATGCCCCCCTCCTGGCACGGCTTAGTTACAGAGCTCAGGAAATATTTTTGGATCCAAGCCTTAGCTTTCATTTTCTCATTTGTAGTCGGTAAACATTGCAGGACAAGTTTGTTGGCTTTTTTTTTTCTTTTTTTGCAAAGCTTTATGTTTTAAATCTATTATTTTGAGAAAAAAATATGCAGAGGTTCCTGGAAGTTTCTCTGCTTATCAGCTATCTTACATGTAGATAATAAACTCCATGAGGCATGACGCTATTTCAAAAATATTTGGTTTATGGCATTTTACAACCCTAAATTTGTGTGCATAAGTATTCAGAGAGAGTACTAGAAAAGAAATTGAAATGAGTGGCAACCTGAAAGACAGGGGGTCATTGTGTATAATTCAGAAGACCAAGGAAAAAAAAAGTACATGTTTCTCCAGTACAGTTTCTTTATAAGAGTGTGTTTCAAGTGGAAGTGTAGAAATGGAGCATGCTTATGTTTATATTGAAGAGATTAGATAAACTAGCCTGTTTAGGGTTCTGGCAGATGGCGAATGCTCAAGCCAATTTGCAGTGCTCCATTATAATATTTAAATTCACACACAATGATAGGACAGGGGTGGAGGGGGTTAGCATTTTGATAATTTGATAACTATTATCTTCCCTAAGAAGAATCTCCTCTTGCTTTTGTGGCCCAAAATACAAACTCAAATAAATATGACAACCCATTTATCTTGCACCCGTTAGGGTTTACCACTTCATTGGGTATTATAATTTAAAGCCTCTTATTTCCTGGAGATTTGAGCTATAACATTTTTACTTTAGCCCCCTGCTATTTGTTTTGAAAGGAAGCAATAATTTGTGCAACCAGAACACCAACTGGGAAATGAAGAGTTGTATCACATAGTTACATTTTATTCATGCGTTTTGGGAAATGTGCCTCCTTATTGGATTTTGTGTGTGTATGTGTATTAGCTTGTTTTCCAACAAAACTTTAACACTTTTTTATAGCTTAGTCAAACTACTGTGTGTGTACACGATTATATTTGCACTATACAATGTTCTAGCAGGAAGAAATCCGCTCCTATTCATAAAGAAGGAAAAGCTTTAAAAAATGGCTAATATAAACATGCAATGCTATCAAAAAATGAGCTATCGTTTGTGAGTATCTACCTGAAAAATGTAGTAGTTGAAGCATGCAAATTTGTCCAATTTGACTCTCCAGGTTTATTTTTTCATTTGCTTTGATATGCATATTTAATATATGGCCTCAGGCTAGATCTCATTTGGTGAAAGTTGGTGCAGGGGTGATGATGAGCCACTTCAGAAGGACAGAGACAGCATGTTGTTTCCTCTGTTTTATGTATTGGCTCGCTATTCTGATCCATGGGTCTTCCCCTCACGGTTTTATTTGCACATGAAATACTAGGAGTATTTCAACTGATTGGCTATGAATAATGACAGCCAAAAAGAAGTGTAGGTTAATTTGTTGTGTGCCAAGGTTTCTCTAGTGGATGTGACAGTTTGTGACAGCTGCTTGACACCCCAAAAATCCATACACCTCTATTCTTATTAAGTGGTATAAAGCTACACCCTGTGTGTTTAATGTGAACGGTGGCAGTGGTGGTGCTGCACGAGGAACTAAGGGCAGCTCTCAGTTTCATCCCTTTGCTAGACCTGAAAACAGGCATAAGAGAAAGTAACAGAGAGAACTGTAGGATTAGCCAATATTTACCATAAGACTTTAAACAGGGGAGTCAAATAGTGCATGCTTCCCTTTTCAAAATCTACTGCTCCAGTATTTATATAACTTAATTGGAAAACAAAAACAAAATCAACAAAGGAAGGAACTCTTCAGAGGTGTACCTGTACTGGGAAAAGGAGATAGCTCTAAGCGATTGTGCTATACGTGTTTGGTAATAAATGTGTTTATCGAATTTTATTTTAGTGTGCTATTAACTGTTATGTAATACAGTAAGTGTAAAGGGTCCAGGGACTTGGTAGATCGAATAGTGCGGCGCTGGCCACAAGAAGCTGAAACTTTTGTTATTACTCTGCTGTGTTTAGTAAATATAACAGCCCATAATTAGTGTTTGAATTTTTAACATCCTCATATTTTTTTATTGCTCTGAGGTATTAGCTGTAGATGGGAAGAAGGTAATTACGGTTATGCCCTGGCTGAACAAGATCAGTTGGAGGGGAGAAGAAGAAAAAAAAAAAAAATGAAAAGAGGAAAGGGGAAAGAAACCTTTCCAGCTGCAGTTCAAGTTGAGATTCCCAGCACAGACAATTTGCTATTGTTCAACATAAACATTCTGGGCCCTATCCTGCATTCTGTGTTGAGCCTAAAATATCTATTGAGATTGCCAACAAATCTGTTTTTTGGGGTTTGTTTGTTTGTTTTTTCTTTCAAGCTATTAAAATCTGAAAAATGTAATGCTTGTAAAATTTGTAGATTTTTAAACTTTTTCAAGGATATGATAACATTTTACACTTTAATCACATTTCTTTTGTACCTGGCTTCAGCTGGTGCCACACAATTCTTCCTTTAGCATAAACCTACTTTGAAGCCTAGTAATTCTCCCACAGAAATTTATGACTCTTCTTCCCCTGGCTTTCGTGGGAGCAAGATCAGGGCCTCAGTCTTTCTGATATTTGTTTATATGTTCCAGTCAATTTGCAGCTGAGAGGTAATAATATACAGATCATCATTTATAAAATACAATTAAAAATGAGTAGAAACATACACACATCTCTTTTTTTTTTTTTACAAAAGGACTGTTGACAGATTAGAAATCCGATGCCTTAGCTGTAGAAGAGAAATATTAGTGTGAATATTAAACCTTTCAGCTCTCAGATGAGGAGATACTTTTATTTTGTATTTTTGGACACCCAGACATTTTATGTTTCTCTAATATTTCTTCCTGAAGAACGGTCTGTGCAAATTCCTGGCAACTTGCAGATGAGAAAAAAAATAAAAACAGGGCAATATATATCTGTTCCAGTTATATAAGTAAACCTTTAGGTAAGATTTCACTGAGTAATGAGCAAGTAATTGGGGGGCTGATGCTGCAGTCTCCAGGTATGCCACATTTTGATGGACTTCAGTGGGAGTTTTGAGTATGCCAGCAGAAATGCAGGATCAGACCCCAAAGGTGCCCTTTATGTTTGTAGTGTGTCATAAGGGAAACTAAGTAGCTAACTTCAACAATAATAAGGTAAACTTCTTTCTTTAATGACCACATTTCTTAGCATGTGGCTTAAGGCTTAGGACATCGCGGTAGTCCCTGTGCTTTTTGAAGGGGCAAGGAACATCCTGAGTCTGCAGGGAATGTTGTGTGTTTCCTCTTTTTGATGGGCCGAGGTACTGTACAGTCAAAGGTAATCTGAGTGTTTTAATTTGAAGCTGTGTTCTCTCAAAGTGAACCAATAATGTATTTCACTATTTAATGCTGGTGTTCCCTCTTTGGTTTGAGTTGTCTGTCAGTCTAGATGAAGTGTAGCCACACTGAATGACGTAGAAGGACAATTAAAAAAACTGAACAAACGCCCGATTTTTCAAGTCGCGGTTCTTTGCTGACAGGTGGATTACATGTCTGATTTCAGTCCTAATTGGAAAATACAAAGCACGCAGTTTTTCAGTATCTTGCCACGTTCTAGGAGTGTCAAAAATTCCTCCTGACGCTTTCTGCAAATGCAAAACCAAGGGACAAGGAATAAAACTTCCACATATATAAATACATACATAAATATCTGATAGATCACAATGCCTTGTGTTTTGTTTAAGTTGTGTAACTTATACAAAAA